CACTGACATATCCCAGCATGGACAGGGTTTTTAAACTACTTCCTTGTTGCCCATGTAGTGGTGCACACCTGTAATCCCAAAGGCTTGGCAGGCTGGGGCAGGAGGATCGAGAGAGTTCAAAGCCAGCCTCAGCAACTTAGCAAGGCCCTGATCAACTCAGTGAGACCCTGTCTCCTAAATAACATATAAAAAAGGGCTGGGGATGCAGCTCAGCGCTGAAGTGCCCCTGTGTTCAATCCCTGGTGCAAAGTGCTCATTATTTTCTAGCAATGTAGGGTGCTCCAGGGCCATCTTAGGTACTTCCCACCCAGGTCCTAGGATCGGCGATTTCTCCAAGGAGTCCTGGTTGCTTTTGTTGACGAATGGTCTTGGAGAGCAAGATCTTGGTGCTGTGTGTGCTCACTGCTACTGAGGCACCCTTGCCCATAGACCCTCTTCATCTGTGTACATGTGTGAACACACACTTGCTTCCCTACACATATCTACAAGCATTTACCTGGGCCATCATCTCTATCTACATTAATGCTGAAGTTCACACTGGAATCTCCAGTCTACGCCACAGGTCATCTTGATTTCCTCTTTCTTGTCTAGAATCACCCTCCCCACTCCATGTACTTTGGCTATGTTGAGTTCCTGGACACAGGTGCAGTGGAATCTGCATGGTCAGCCTGTCCCGATGTGGGGAACAGCTGTAGTGACTAGAAGGCACTGCTCAGTGGCCACCTGCTTACCTCTGGCCTTGCACACTCGCTCTCTCCCAGGGGTTCTAGGTCAGCAACCCCACCCCTCAGTGAAGTCGCTTCATACTTTGTAATACGATGGGGTTGTTTTGCCACACTTTATTTTCCATCCTGAGAACCCCCAGCTCCTAAATGATTTTGTTTTTGCTTGTATTTTCAGATTCATATTTTGTGCTGTAAAGTCTTACAGGTTTTGACTAAGGCTAGCGTCACAAACCACCTTACCTCATGGTGCAGAATACGTCAAGCCCCTGCGTTCCCCTATCTGGCCCTTCCCTCGGCCCTGGGCACTCCTGACAAGGGCTGGTCTTTTTGCTGTCACAGTGGTTTCGTCTTTTCCAGAAGGCCCCATACCTGGAATCGCACAGCACGTGACCTTTCAGATRAGCTTCTTTTTTATTTTTTAATTTTTAAAAATGTATTGGTTCTTTTTAGTTACCCAGGACAGCAGAATCCATTTTGATAGAATTAWWCAAGCACGGAGAAGGTCTTTTTCTAGTTAAGATCCCATTCTTGTGGACATTCGTGATGGTGAGATTCACTGTGTCGATTTCATCTAAGGACGTGGGGAAGTTATGTCAGTTTCAGTCCATTGTCTTTCTCTTCCTATCCCCTCCTCTCCTTTCCCCATTATCTAATCTATTGAACTTCTATTCTTCCCTTGCCCCCTTGTGTGTTAGCTTTCATGTATCAGGGGAAACATTTGACTTTTGGCTTTTTGGGATTGGCTTATTTCACTTAGCACGATGGTCTCCAGATCCATCCATTTACTGTCAGATGCCATAAGGTCATTCTTCTTCATGGCTGACTAATACTTCATTATATCACATTTTCTTTATCCATTCATCTGTTGGAAGGGCACCAAGGCTGGCTCCATAGCTTAGCTATTGCGAATTCAGCTGCTACAAACATGGATGTGGCCGAGTTACTGTAATATGCTAATTTTAAGACTAGCTTCTTTCATTTAGCACCTTGTATTTAAGGCCCCTGGGTGTCTCTCTGATCTCACAGATCCTTTCTCATCACTTTACCTTGATTGCTGAATGACATTTCTTTGTTTGCATGTACCACAATTTGTTTAACCATTCACCTGTTGAAGGAAATCTTGGTTGCTCCCAGTTTTTAGTGATTGTGAATAAAACTGGTGCAAAAATTGGGGTATGGGCTTTTGCGTGGGTGACGTTTTCAAGTGGGCTGAGTAAATCTAGGATGATTATTAATGGCTAAAAGACTGTTTCACTCTGTAAGAAACTGTGGCTTGTCCCTTCATCTTCCCAATAGTATCTTTGAAGTGTAATTGTTGTGGGGCAGGTAGCTCAGAAAACACACCAAGTCCCAGTTTGTCCAAATGGAAGAGTCTTTATTTAGCTGGTCGGCCAGGGACTGCCCCCCGCAGGACCCATAACTGTCTCTGCAAGAAACAGCCCCGAGAATGAGCATTTTAGGATATTTAAAGGCAAAAACCACATCTGGGTTGACATAGCTGCAAGCAAGCAGGTACAGAATCAGAATCGGGCAGTTAGCGAGATAATGCAATGGGTGGCATTGGTGTTTCCCATGGGACTTTCCAGGTTGGAATAGCAGCAAACCAGCAGAAGGGAAGTGGGTCAAAATGACCCTAGTTGAGCACAAGTTAGAGAATGGCTACTAACATCCAGACAATCAATTTCCGACAAGGTACATTGCCCAAGGAAAATGGAAGCCAAAGAGAACAATTTTAAATTGAGTAAGAATTGCTATTTTGAGTTGCCAAGTATGTCACGCTAGGTGACTCTTAGTGGGTGCAGAGGTGGGGCTTTCCCACGGGAGAAGCAGTGCTTACATGACGTGGAGTCTCAGGGTAAAATGGAGTCTGTTTGCTCATTGTCCATAAGCCTGGCCCTGACATAAACATTTTAGTTTAGTGAAGTCCAGTTTATCATTTTGGGGACAGGGAGGGAACCCTACAGAGGAGTATGTTCAAAACAATGAAAAGAGATTTTTCTTTTCTTTTCTTCTCTTTTTGCAGTGCTGGGGCTTGAACTCAGGCCCTTGTGCCTGTTAGATAAGTGTTCTACCACTGAGCTGCACCCCTGCCCCAAAAGAAGATTTTGTGGGTTGAACAACCTGTGATCTGGAAACGTCCTTAATTCTAGCAGGGAAGTCTGCATCTTGTGACTTCCAGTTATAAAACTCAAACTCCTATGTCTTGGGACCCTTGCAGTCTCAGGAAGACTGGGGTGGCCAGGTACTCTAATTTAGATAAAGAAGAATCTATAACTTTCTCAAGCAGTGGTGTGTTAGCTGGAAGGGAAAATGATTATCTGTCTATCCATCTATGTATCTGTCCATCTGTCATCTATGAATCCACCAGTCCGTCGATCTCTGTTTTAATAAGAAAGCCACAATAGTGCTTTCATATCCTGATAGAAAAAGCCCAGAGACGGGGAAGATGTGCGTGGGGGGAGAGGAGAGGAGGGGAGAGCTGGGCAGTGTCTGAGTGAGCGAGATGAACACAGTCCTGCATGGGCTGGCCTCAGTGAGGACAGGGCAGGCCACCTGTGCAACGGGAGGGTCAGCAGGGCCCTGAGTGGTGGGTGGGCCGGCAGGGGAACCCCTGTATTTTGCCCGTGCAGAGGCAGTGAGGTCAACAGCTGAGAGGGATTTGGGACCACAGGACTGGGAGGCAGAGGCACAGGACAGTGGGGCATGAGAGGGCTGCAGAGTCGCTGCCCTCCGGGACCCCAGCTGTCTTTGAGATTAGGGATCTTGAGGTGAGATGGAGCAGTTAGTGTGTGCCATTCACTCGCCACATCCAATGGCTGGAGCTTGGAACAGGGAGAGATCGGGAGGCTTTGCGGAGTGACTTTGAGAAAACCAGAGAAGAACAGAGGATCTCAGGATGGGATTGATCCTGGAGCAAGTGAGGGCCCGAGGGAAGAAAGCAAAGGGACAACCAGACGAGTCCCTGGGTCATGCATCCCAGTGGGATTGAAGGATCCTTGGARTTGGTTATGAGAGGAATGTGCTGGAAAGAGAGGAGGCTGAGGTCACAGTGGAACAGCTGAGAGTGGAGAGGTGGCTTACAGGACGGTGTCTGTGGAGAGACCGCCATGGCAGTCCAGGCTCGACGGGTTCCCATCGACTGGCCGCACCTGCCCCTTGGCATCATTTAACCGGCATCCTTCCTCCCCTCCCCCAGTGAGGCCGACTCGGCCAGTGTCGGGCTGCTCGCCCACTCTGCTTAAAGCTCCATGGGACACACCTGCCCRTAAGAACAGGGTTCCTATGTGTAGAGCAAGAGAATATATCACGCTGTGAACATTTGCCCCTGTACCCAGGGTGGCCGCGGGTTGGCAGGGTGTCACTCACACCTGCATCTCGGAGATGACGGTCTTGGTCTCCTTCAACCTTGCATGCAGTTGGTGCCCGATGGCCACTGACTCCAGTGATTTATGGAGGACGGAAGGTCAGATGAAGACTCTGGTGGACAGACTGCCTGCCCTGCACTGTCCTCTCAGGAAAGAAGGTTCCTCTTGGGGAGAGTGGGTTGGATGGGCTCAGGGAGTGTTTGTGCTGGGTCGTCCCTTGCAGGAACCAAGCTGAGACAGGCAGATGGCCTTTGAATGTGACACAGCGTTGCGCAGCTCTCTTCAAGAGACCCCGGGAAGTCCCAGGCATGCTCTCCTACTCAGTCACTTTTGAAGGAGAGGGGCTCAGCGGATTCCTGGAGCTGTCAGATGCCACAGGCAGCAATGACAAGGATGGTCCTGCCTCTCTGGGTCTCACAAACGTGTTCCCAGACCACTCCCAGCAACCTCCAGGTCCTTCCAGGGAGACAGCCTTCCCAGTAACACCAGAACACCACCTGCAACGTTGTCATTTGCCAGTTTATTTAACCAATTCAACAGAGAAACACAGCTTCGCTGTACTCCAGGTGGTGAGGGTTGGAGGAAATCGGAAGAGTGGGAAAAGTCTAGTAATCAGCAGAGGACATGAAGCTCGGGAGAGGTCAGGAGAGGGACCGGGTCTAGGATCCTCACAGGAAGGTGGGAATTTGGCCTTGGAGTGTGCAAAGTTGTGCCCTGGACCTTGATTTGCTAGTCTATGAAATGAGGACAATCACTCAGGGGGATTTGTGCAAAGACCCAGAAGATGGAACCATAGTCGTGCGTTTGTGCCAATGAACGCCGGTCCTGGTTTTCCATTTTCTCTTGGAGCCGCTGGGAAGACGGGGGCTGGGTGGGAGGAGGAGCAGGCAGGCCCTCCTGTCACCTGACTCTAGGATGCGTTGGGATTTATCACTTTCCCCATGAAGAGAAGGTTGTGGCTGCCTTCCTTATAGATGAGCAGCAGGAAGGGCTTGTTGAAGTGAATGGCCGGGATCTGGTGCTTGGGAAAGTACCTGAAGCTGGCGACGTTTTCCTCATCTGTCCCTTCCTCATCCATGATCAGCTCCACCCTGTGCACTGCCTTTGGGGACCAAGGTTCACAGTGTCAACCTGAGCAGGAATAGCCCCTTCCCCCAGGAGGTACCACCCTGACCCTCACTCTGAGCTGGGCCCAGAAAACTAGAGGCATGACCTGGTCTGTCCTGTCTACCATCTCCAGGCCTCCAGGAGGCTCTGCAGCCGTCCACTTGCATGGGCCAGGGCTCCCTAAAGCGCAGATCCAGCCAGCCACTTCCTGCTCAAGCCCCTGTGGACCCCTCCCCCCCTCACTGAGTGACCTCAGACCATCGTTGTCTGGTGATCAGGATCCTTTAGTAACTGGTTCTAGGAGCTGCACCCACAGCCCTTCCCATGCCCCATGGGCTCATCCCTCTTCTCCCCAACTTCCTTTTCCCAAGGTTAGCCAGTATTTCTGGGCATTTCCTCTTCCTGTTCCTTGGAGCGTCCCACAGTGGTGTTGTATCCTCAGGACCCGACTCTGGGGATCTCACTCTGCTGCCCCTTCCCTGGGGAACGATGTCCATCCCCACCGCACATCCGTATGTAACCTCCTTCTGCAGCCGGACCCTCCTTGCGTAACTCCCTCTCCCCATGTTTACATAACCACCAGGGCAACCCTGTCCCTAGGAGGTGTCAGCATTGCAAACGCACATCCGGCTTTGAAGCCCCCAGAGCTCCTTCACCCAACAGAGCAGGTGGTGAGCTCGGGAGCACCCTCCTCCCCAGGTTCAGCCCTTTCCGAGGAACAGCCATCCTCACCACCACTGGGTGCTGCAGTTCTCCATTTCTGCCTCCAACCTCACCAGGAGCCAGAACAGCCCTGTGAGCCCCACGGGTGCTGCTCAGTGAACGAGGAAGCGGGCAAACGTGCGCACTGGTGTAAAAACCCTGGACTCCAGGCTCTCACTTACCTTAGAGACCTTTATGGGGATGGTTTGCACAGAGATTCCCGAGAGGCCTATGCCGTAACCAAACATATTCAGGCCGCTGGGTGAGAGCACCAGCTTGTCCAGGTCATAATTCCCAGTCAGGGATAATTTGGGAAAATACAACTTCCTCCTGCTACTCGGGAGAATGAGAAAAGAAAACCAAACTTAAATAACATCCTTAATACACTGTCCCCCGCCCGCAGCCTCACTTCAGAATAGTAGAGAAAGACTCGTTTCAGCCACGTTTACCGTGAGCCTGAAACCACCGGGTCCAGGCCAGGCAGCCTCCAGAACGTTCCATTTTATCCTCATGGTGCTCCTGGGTCTAGGTGCCCAGAGTATCCACTTCACAAATGAGAAAATGGGGGTGGTTGAAGAGGTTTGGAGTTTGCCCAGAGTCACACGGTTTCTAAAAAGCTGGCATTGACCCCAAAGCACRGGTATTTCTGGAGCCTGCTGGCTGTGGCCCCCTGGGGTCCAGTGGAACGAGAGATTCTCCTGTTCATGCATCTGTCTATCTTTGGCTCAACAGGTTGCTTCATCCCACTTCCTTCCTGTGAAGGCCCAACCTCGGGGGCCCTGCRTGCTGGGGCAGGGCTGAGCCCCCCYTTCCTGCCACCTCCCAGGTTCACCTTTCCACGTCTGCACGTCAAAACCACAGGAGGGGAGATGATGGAGAAGTCACTCTCCCAGAAGCCGAGAGCGGAGGGGTGGTCGCCTGGGCTGGGAGCAGGAGGGGAGAGGTTGGACAAGTGCCAGTCAYGCAGAATGAATGGTTCTGGATTTCTCTTGTGCAGCCTGGGGAGGGGAGGGGTTCATACTGGGCTGCATGCTTGAACTTGGCSGAGAGCAGCTCTTACGTGTTCTCACCAGACATCGTGTGAGGTGATGGATATGCTAACGAGCTGGATTGTCCTAAACAGTTCACCATGTCCGTGTACCTTGAGACATTGGTGGCCTCKAAACTATAGACAATTGTTGTTTTTCAATGACAGCAATAAGGTTGGGAGGGGGGAAGAAAATCACAAAAATCAGAAAACAAAGACTAGTCCCTGTGGGGACTGTCCCTGCATGGCGGTCAGAGAGCGGCTCTGTGCGCATAGGCTSGGGGATGACTATGCGCTGAGAATGTGTCTTCCCAGCTTTAGTGTCTCTGCTTCAGCCGCAAGAAAGTGTGTCTCCTCCCCCCACTGTGACTCTCAGGCAGCCTCGGCTAGCTGGAGCCTCCTGACAACCCAGGGGTGTCCTTGGGGACCATGCAATAGGGAGCTGTGTTGGAGGCTCCCTGCTATCTCCAGGGGAAGGGCCTGGGGGAGATGAGAAGGCCCTGCCAGGAGGAGCTCAGTGGGGCTCACGCTGGCACCTGTGGGGTATCTGGAGGTGAACGAAGACTTGGGRCTGCAGCGGTGCCCAGGCCCCACCTTCCAGAACCCACTGACCCGCATGATTTATGGTCTAGAACAAGAGCCACTTGGACTCCCAGATGATGCCAGTCTGCAATGAATGGGGACGTATTTGGCTGTCCTAACTGGGAGTGGGGTGTGACACTGATACCCAGTAGATGAAGCAGCTGAGCCAGGAGGGAAGACCCTTGGCAGCCACAGGCTGTGGGCTCCACAGGACTGTGGCTGTCTATGGGTCCCATGAGGAGCTGCACGTCACGTGCAGATCCTRTCCGGGAAGCGCTAAGTTAAACATCCCTCATCTCTTTACAGGTTCTCGTGGCTTCCAAATGCCAAGGTGATCTGTAATCTGAAGGGAGGCGTTAGGTGGTGACATGCGATGGTGATGATTTTGAAGCCCTGTTCCCTTCTCTCAGAGAARTGGAGGGCTGAGTCCTGCGTGATAATCAGGGTGTGACCTAGTTCCAAACCCTCATGTCCTGGCCCCAAGAGCAGCAGGGCCTCACTCCCCGCTCTGGAGAGCCTTGTGCTACCGGGGGCGAACACATCTGGGGACTTACTTCAGTGGGAAGGGYTCAGTCCACTTGTCCAAATTGTCCTTCATCAGCGCCTCCTCCACCTGGGCGACCGTCCCCTTCTCAGGAAGAATGAAGAGAGCAGTGGTGTTGCAGACGCAGGGCACCTGGAGGGCGTGGCTGTGGAGGTGGCGGAAGTACTGCAGCTGGAACCAGCCCAGCCTCTGCATCATGGGCACCGGGACGCTGAGCTCCTTGCTCACCRAGAAGGGCATGATCCTAGTGTCCTTTGGGTCAAAGCGGAACTTCCATTTCCCTGATGAGAGACCATGTGGGTGTCAGAGGGGACCGGCAGTGTCCAYGGGCACGATGCCATTCATTTGGAGATACTTTGGGAGGAGCTGCTATGAGACAGGCACTGTCCTTGTGGCAGAAGATACAGGCACACAGGAGAGGTCCCTGTCCACATGGATCTTACACCCCAGGGCTCATAAGGAACAAGACRAATAAGAAAATAAGTGTGCCCCATGGTGATGTGTGCTAAGGAGAGAAATAAAGTCAGGGGAAACACGAGATGTCAGGGAAGGACAGTTACAATCACACAMAAAGCTTTCCTGAGAGTGTGGCATGGAGTGAAGACTTAAGAGGCYGAGGGACTGAGCCATGGAATACCTGGGCAAGAACCCCCAAGAAAGGAAATTACCTATGCAAAGGCCCAGTGGCARGAGTGATCCTGTCATGGAGCAGAAGGAGTGAGAGAGGGTGTGGGAGGTGAGGCCAGGGAGAGACGGGTCTGTCAATTTCCTCCTGTGACAACTGGAGGAACTGGGGGTGGTGTAGCTTCCTTAAAGGACACTTGTGAAAGCAAAGTCCTGAGTGTGACTCCTGGCACACAGCAGCTGCTCAGACCCCAAAGTCTTCATGCTCAAAGCACAAATAACACTCCCCACTTTGGCAGTGATGGGAAGGGTCACCAGATCACATATGGGATGCCCAGTCAAAAGGGAATWTCAGGAAGTGAGCATTGTTAAGTGAGAGCCCCTCTCCTGCGCGGCTGGTTTGTTCCCAAAGCTGGCATCAGTCCCTAAAGCTGTCCAGGAGCCTTCCCCAGGGCAGTGGCTCCCAGGCTGAGACCTGAAGGGTGTGCTTACTGGCAGGAAGAGGCAGGGAGGCGGCAGTAACAGGTGGCCACAAAAAGACCCTCAAGCAAGAGAGATGGTGCTCTCTGGGGGGGGGGGTTGCCATTCTCCCTAGCCTGGGGTAGGAAGGTCACTGGGGACTRTCCCTCCTGCAGGCATGAAGCATCATCCTGAGGGTCCCAACTGGGCTGGGCACTGAAAAGATGAGGCAGTGAAGCTCAAGGTCAGATTTGGCTTCTAGAAGGATGACCGTTCCAGGGTGGACACTGGATCRGGGAGTCCATGGGCAGGAAAGCCAAGGACACAGAGGACCCGTTAGGAAGCCGTTGCAATGATTTGAGTGGACGGCASAGTAACCTGAGCGAGAACAGCGGCCATGGAGGGGGCCACGGTCCAGTCAAAGAGCCACGGAGAGGGAAAGTCCACAGTGTACGGTGGCGGCTCAGGTACGTCGTGCAGGAGAGAAGAGAGACCCTGTGAGGAGACCTCAGGGTCCTGGCTTGGGGCAGGAGTTGGGGCCATTTACTGAGATTTGGAGGAAAGGAGTAGGAAGAGGGGGACTTAGAGGGCGGAGGAGGTGATGGCAAGATGTGCTTTCTGTTTGGAGCATGCCTCGTTTGGGGTGCTGCTCTCAGAAGGAGGTGACCAGGTGGCTGGTGGGGATGGGGGTCTGGGTGTAGAGAGCTGGGGGTCTTCAGTGTGTGGGAGGGTCAGTGGCTGCAGCTTTGGCTCAGCTCACCTGAGGAGACTGCYGACCCAGAGGAGGGGGTGGCTGAGGGGACTCTCAGCAGAGCCAGCAATGCACAGGGCTGCATGTGACGGGCAGGTGCACTGAGCCAGAGGGCAAGGGAGGGCCAGGAGAGCCACTCAGCTCCCCCGGGGGTGGGAGTGGAGGGCCGTAAAACAGCCCATGCAGCCAGCAAGGTGCGGGGTGGGGGACGAGGTTCCCTGGCTCGACGAGTGGTTTCTTTGGTGGTTGGCGAGAGGCAGTTTGATCAAAGGATTTGACAGGGCGGGTTGTCGTCTCAAGTCTGTCCACAGACCCCTACAGGCAGTTCACCAMGTAGCGGTCACCATCTTGACAGATGCCTTTGGAACAAAGGGTCCCTCATATTCATTTGTCACTCAGCCCTACAGATGATGCAGTTGGTCCCAGGGAAGGTGTCCCTTTCTAAAGCTCTGCTTAGGACAGGGACAGAAGAGGGGGCCGTAGCTATGCAGAAAAGACCCCGGAGGAGGGAGGCCRAAGTCAGAGGAACGGCAGCTCCAGGCAGGGGCAGGGGACATTTCCTCCTTGGACAGGACAGGGCTTAACTTTGCCATCACCTGCAGGGAGGTCAGTAAAGGCCACTTACCTTTAAAGAATATATAATTTGCCAGAATCAAAACCGAGTGCATCTTCATCCCCTCAAAAAAGGTCTTGATTTTGCCCCCRGTCTTCTTCTCCATGGCCAGGTCCATCTGATGCCTGGCCACCCGGTGGTTCTTGAAGGACGTGGCGAGGATCTCCGTGCGGTACAGACTCCGAGCTCTTTGGGCAAACTTCCGCCTTGGGTTTCGACCCTGACCCAGAAAGAGCATGCTGCCGGTATCCATCCGGCACGCCCCCGGGGGTGACAGGAGGGCTTCCAGGAGCTGACTGGGGTGTTCATGCAACCTGCTCTCTGGGACCTCAGCGAGATGAAACCCCAGRTCTTGCAGAATCTGGGGGCGGGCTTTTGGCTTGGCCTGGAGGGCTAGCAGCGTCAGGGGAACGGAAAGGCTCAGTGGGGAGAAGAGCACATTCCTGTCTGGGTCTGGGGCCACCAACTGTTGGTACAGGCTGAAGGCAAAGTGGGAATTGTCCAGGAAGGGGGAGGAGGTTGGCCCGTCCACTGGGGTTGTATGATTTTCCTGGGCAGGTGCACTTTGGCCATAGGCATGAGGACCCAGCCTGGTCAYCAGCAGCCAGAGAGACAGAATAGGGTATGCCATCCTAGACAAAAAGACACAGCACTGTCATCACCCAGCTAGGCCACACAGTCCATCAGGGCATGTCGTCCAAAAAGGCCCCTGCTGCTCTGCCCTTCCCTCCAGGGCCCATAGGATCAACCTCAGTGGTGACTCCCGGGGAACAGGGAGTCCTCGGGTGCAGTTTGGGCTTTGTGGACAGACTGGTTCTTGAAGCCCAACTTTGGCTTTCTCTGCAGTGTCRTCACAGACAACTTCCTGTCCCTCCCTCGTGGAGACCAGAGGTCTCCTGTGCACCTGCCGCGTGGACCTGTGCGAGGCTTGAGGTGTGAACAGCAGGTGTTTGGGGAAATACAGGTGCTAGGGACAAGGAGCCCTTGCTGGGCTTGCAGACTTCTTTGCATTCTAGTTGGAATAGCGTGCCCTGTGTATAATATGTCCTCAGTGTGTGTGACATACAGCCAAATCGCATCACCCTCCAAACTCTGTTGGCCAAACCCATTCCTTCCTGGGCCCTTCTCAGCCCTTTGTGTCTGGAGAGGGCTGGGCTCTCCTGCCCATGGTGTGGGAGGCCTGGCAAGAGCAGGGGATCTGGTGTCCATCCAGCTCCCTTGCTGCCTCAGCTGCAGGCAGCCAGCGGCCCTTGCCTCCCTCCCCTGTGGCTCCAGCCCTCTCTGTTTCCTCTGAGCTCCTCCAGCTCAGAGCAGCCCCCGCCTTCACCCACCTCTGGTGCCTCCCTTTCCTTTAACCTTCTCTTCATTAAAGGCATGTACCCCGAACCACGGGGTGGTTCCATTCCATCCTCACACGCAACCCCTGCAAAAAAGTGACCCCAGGGAGGTCAAGGGGCCTATGCAAGGTTGACATGGGCCGAGGAGCGAGCTGGGATTCCAGCCCAGGTCTACTGCCTCCAGAGGGTGGGGCTTCTTTTGTKCTTTACTGGCCCCCTATTTAAAGGTCAGGGGTTCATCTGCAATAAGATTTGCAAGCTCATGAACCCTCCAGGTCCTGTTGCACCCACAGCTCTGTAAGACTGCACCCCAGCTACTACCCCAGCCATGCAGGGAGTTCTCTCCCCAGGGGCAAACCGGGAGCCCCAGGGGTCAGAGTGAAAGCAACTTTTACTTACAGATTGTGTACTGGGAGTCTGATGCATCCACAGTGCCCTTGGATCTGGCCTATCTGGGCAGCTGTCCTGGGCTGAGTGGGTAGCAAATATCACTTGCCGATCCTGGTGGTGACAGTCATATGGGAAGCTCAGCTTGTACCTTCCTCAGGCAAATGTTCCAGCTACACTGGGTGGTGCTTAATGGGGCATGGGGAACTCGAGGGACAGAGACTCCTGAGCTTCACTAGCAGTGGAAGGAGGAGGTTCACCTGTACTCAGGAGGAAGGACAGACATATCCTCTACCAGGGAACTGCTTTCTCATTGTCCCTCTCTCTTGTTCATCCATCCATCCACCTGTTATCCATCCATCTATCTATCCATCCATCCATCCATCATCCATCCATGTATCCATCCATGCATCCATCCATCCACCTGTCCATCCATGCATCCATGCATGCATCCATCCATCCCCACCCACCCACTTCTGAAGCACCTGCTATATGTCTGACCATGGGTGGGCATTGAAGGGGGAAAAGGGAAGAGGACATCTAGTCAGGGCCATCAGAGCCATTTCTTGCTTGAGGCCCTCAATGCCTCTTGTGTCTATCCTCAAATACCTTTGGGGTAGTGGGTGAGGGTGTAGGAGAAACTCTGATCCTGAATTGATTGAAAATCCCTGAGTTGACAAAGTTTCTGTGGAACAAGCAGAATTCAACTAGAATTCACTAATATGAAGCCTCCACCAGGGAACTCAGAGAGGCTCCTGTGGGCATATGGCCCGGAGCTGGTTCTGGAGAAGGAACAGGATGCTCACAGTCAGGAAGGCGGGAGACTCGGAGCCTAGCACCTCCGCACTCCTCCCTTTTACTGTCTCTGGGCATGAGCAGTAATTTACTTCTCTATGGAAAAGCCCAAGGTAAATATGGGAGAGTACCACAGCGATAGTAATAACATGTGCAGGGACAGCAGCTGCTCTTGTTTACCTGCCGAAGGTCCTCTGGCAGAGAGGGGATACAGAATTTGCTAAAATGACCCCATAAGGAAACATTAGTCATGTTTTGCAGACAAGCTCAGAAAAGGTGGAGTCAATTGCTCAAAAACAAGACTGAAGGCTGGGGCTGAGGCTCAGGGGTAGAGTGCTTGCCTAGCACATGTGAGACCCTGGGTTCTTTTCTCAGCACCGAATATAAATAAATAAAATAAAAGTCTATTGACAATTTAAAAAATATGCATATTAAGAAAAAAAAAACCCCAAACTGAAGCACATTTAGCATGCAGAGTTCTGTGATACCCAGRTCCACCTTCCACTCAACCCAGGTGACTTCTTTGGAAGTCACATTCTGCGGTTGCTGCAGAGGTGACTTGGTGAGGCTCTTGAATACTAAAAGTCATTCTCAAAGGGCCTGTGATTTATGAACACACATGCAAACACACAACTTGGGTTTTTCTAGTTCATAATTTTCTCCCCAGTTTCTTTGGGCACACTGTCGTGGGAGGAAATGGTTAATAGTTTTTATCTGATACATCGATGTCCAGCAATTGCCGGGGCTGCCTGAGAGTGCGGATTGGGGAAGCATTTGGGATGCTGTCTCTTCGTGGGGGAGCATCTTCCTCCATCCTGGGAATGGGGAGAGGAAGTGGTAAGATGACTCATATGTAAAATGAATTAACCCTGAGCTGGGATATTGTCCTAGTCATCTTTTAAGAATGGCAATGTGARACCTGAGGCGACTTAATAAAGAAGAGATTTATTTATTTAGCTTACAGTTTTGGAGATTCACGGGCATGGYGCTGGCTTGGCTCAATTCTGGTGATGGCCTTTGTGCTGGCAAAGTCCTGAGGTGACCCATGATATCACATGGCAAGATACAGAGAGCACACGTGTCCATGCCTGTGTGTCTGCTTACATTCCCTCTTTTTTATGAAGCCATCAGTATTCAATCATGGGGTGGGGGCTGGAGATGTGCTTGCCTGGCATGCATGAAGCCCTGGGTTCAATCCAAAAACAAGAAGAACTCAGTCATCAGGCTCTACCTTAATGACTTTATTTAAACCTAATCACTTTCCAAAGGCTCCACTTGGAAACCCCATAGTTKGATTTCGTTTTCTATTAATACTATTAACATATGTGTAAATGTGTATGTGGCGGGGAACCATATTCAAACCACACCTGACATCTAGGAGTTCCAAAAAGAATGGAGAGAGMAGTTCCTAGGAACTAGGTTACCTAAATCCAGGACCAAAATCTAAGACCCTGGGGTCCTAGTGAGGACGATAGATAACTGGTCTGGGAAAGGAGAACGTGGAACAGGAGGGGACCTCATACAGTAAGATATCCCAAATAGTCACTCCATGWAAACCTTGAAAGATGCAAAATGACGTCAGTCTCTAGCCAAGGAAAAGTTCAGAATGAGAAAACCTAGCCACCGGAAGACATTTTAGAGGTCATATAGGACAGGATGGTGAATGGTTTCCACGGAGACTGCCATTTTGGATTTCTTTCCAATGTTCCTGGAGTCTTATGGAAGCGACATCTCTCAGTAAAGATGGAAATGAGCCACCAATGATTATGGACATCTGTCATGGGTGTGAGAGCAGAAGGAATGGCACCCTGGCCACATGCTTGTCATTTTTGGTAGAGCACAAARTTCTTGTAGATGAAGAAGAAGAGGTTGGGAGAAGTGACAGGGACTCACCAAGAGCTACACGCTGAGAACAAGTGAGAATTCCAATCCTGTCTTCTGTTCCCCATAAGCAAGCATTCGTTCTATCCTACCGTACATTAACTTAGGACTGGTAAGAAATTTTGGCTGATTCTCGCGGCGTCCGACGGTGATAAACACCTGATATCAGCTGAGTATTGATTTTGACCTCCACGGTCCTGCTGACCTTCACCAGTAGCCTCTTGTTTATTGAACAAACAAGCCTTTGAGCCTGTTTACGAATCCTCATGAGGCTTATCTCAATCCTATTTCAGGATATTTGCACCCACTTCTTGAGCACCTACTGTGTACCTGGAGCCTTACATGTTAACACCCTATCCAATCCTTCCAGTGACCTTAGAAGGAAGCTACTATTACCCACATCTTTGTGAATGAGAGCGTGGGGTCAAGTGGCTTGCCCAAGGGGGTGTGGCCTTTTCATGGTTAGTCCCAGGAGTGGAATCCCARCTCCAACCCCTCCCATGCTATGCCAAGACTTCTTGGGTTCCTGTGGGTTTTGAAACAACCTTATCTGATGTCTTTATTTGTAGAACAGCATTGGGTGTCAAAAGTCAACCAGGGCAAAACCTCCATTACATATAGCCCCATTACTGGGCATCAGTTGGCCTTCAGACCCCAGTGGACAACGACCCTTCTTCATTATGACTCACGTCTTCCCAAGGCAAACATTAGCCCGTGCTCAGTTCCCAAGTCCTCACATGCCACGGTAGGAACTCTCTTTACTAAAATGCTGCCCAAAGTCCTGCTTTCATTATTATTCAAGTTCAGGTTCAAGGATGTGAACAGGCAGCTGCCAGTTCCCAGATACCTTCTGTTGTGAACATCAGAAAGAAGTGTCTCTGTGAGTTTGCTGACTTAAACAACTGAAACCTAATGTTCCATGGTTCTTGGGGCAGGGCGTTCTAAGGAGAAGTGAAGTAAGTTCTGAGGGAAGGATCTGCTCCCGGCCTCTCCCTTGGCTTCCAGATGGCTAACTTATGTTCACATGGTGTCCTCTCTGTGCCTTTGTAATGTCCCCTCTGTTTGCATRTCTCCTGTTCAATCCCCCCTTTACATAGGGACACCAGTCATACTGGATGAAGGATTACCCTAGTAATCTCATTTTAACTTGACTACCTCCAGAAAAACTATCTCTGAATTACAGTCACATTCTGAGATATTAGAGACTAGAGATTCAACACATGAATTTGGG